CAGCCAGGTTTCCACAGTAACAGCCAGCTAAATGTCTGTCTGCTTCTCTTACTCTTAATATGATTTTAACAATAATAATCATGGTAATAATTATAATGTAACAAATCACAATCATAACGGCCAACTCTTACCCCAATGTTTGCCAGGGTCAAGGGACAGTGCTATGAACTCCGTGGATCTAACGTTTGATACTCACGATAGAACTGTGAGGCAGAGGCAATGCTTATGGCAAAGCAAATACCTTGGAGAGCCCATAGGAGGGGCATCTCTTCTAGTCGAGAATTCAGGGAAGGCTTCCTGGAGGAAGAGACATCTAGGCTGTGACAAAAAGAACAAATCAGAATTTTGCAGGAAAAGTTAGAATTATGACAAGGGGCATTCTGGGCACAGGGAAGAGCATTTGGCCAACTGTGCGAAAAATCAGACACTTTCACACAAGTGGAAGAAACGTCATGTGATCTGAGCTGGAAGTGAAGGAGCGGGCAGGAAGACAAGAAACTAGAAAATTAAGGACTGATTTTTCAGGGACTTACATGCTCTGTAAAAGTTAATCCTTGATTCCTGGAGGCTTCCAAATGGGGGTTCTGTCTTCAGATTCTCATGAGCTGTCAGCTACAGGGTTCGCCCTTTCCCACGTACGAAGAGCCGTGGTCTGACAGAGGGACCGGCCAGTTGAGAAGGAGCCCACGCTGGGGAAGTCAGAATGCCTGGAGATGGCAGTGACAGCTCCTGGTGAGTTGCCGTTGATTTCTAAATTCCCTGTGGTTGCTTGGGTGCCCGCTGATGTCCTGTGGTGGGGAACCATTCATGACACCTTTCTAAAGACACTTCTCCAGAAAATGAGGATCACTATCCCGGCACGTAAGAGCAGTGCCTGGGACACTGAGACGAGGAAATTAGGTGTGCACCTTGGGAAGAGTGAAAGCGGGTGTATTGCTACTAGCTCATCCTTCTGCTGTGAAAGCACACTGTTGACTTGTTTAAAAGATTGCACTTCTACAGATGGGAAGAGTGTGGGCTTTGCAGTCAAACATGTCTCAGTTCAAACCTCAGCGTTGCTGCTTATTTGCTGAGGGGCTTGGGGCCAGTTACGACACTCTCTGTGCCCAAGTTTCTGGGTCTCTAAAATGAGGAGAGTAAGAGTACTTCCTTTTTACGGCACGTGGGACTACAAAGCTGATTTGGTGAGACAACACAGAGAAAGTTTATCACTGTGCTTGGCACACAATACTCAATAAAAGATGGTGCGTATTAACATTTCCAGCTCAATCTGAATGACAAATAACTCTCAAAGGTATATGCATTTAAAAACCTGACATGTAAAGCTGAAGGAATGAATTAGTAACAGTGGAATTTCAGACAGAGGGGAAGAATTACGATACAGGAAAGGGCTGAAAATCCTTGGAGGAGGACGCAGGAAAAAACCACAAGCTCATACTTTGACATTTGGCAGTTCTTTCTCTTTTTAGCTTTTTATTTGGGAAAGTAAATAAACTCATTAGATTCATCTATTAGCATTTTGCCTCATTTACTTTTCCTCTCTGTGTACATGCATGCACGCACACACGTGTGTACTCACATACACAATTTTTTTCTGAACCATATGAACAAGGTGCACACATCATGGCCTCTCACCTCTGAGTACTTTTGACTTGTGTTTCCTTTCCTGACGATGGAGATATTCTCTTACATAATCATAGCAGAGCTGCCAGCGTTGTAAATTTGGGATTGAATTTTTATCTAGTCTACCCTCTACATTCCAATTTTGTCAATTGACCACGAAATAGCTCTTTCCCCTGCAGTGCAGTTTCCAGTCTAGAATTTGCATTTGGCTGTCATATCTTTTTGTCCCTTTTAATACAGAACATTTCCATCTTTCCTATGCTTGACATCAGTCTCTCTTTCTGAAAGAAAAAAAGAGGGGGAGGAGGGTGTCAGTCAGACATATTTGAGTTTGAATCCTGGCTTTTTATTTAGGAGCTGAGTGACCCAGGCATGCTACTTCACCTCCCTGAGTCTCAATCTTTCCATCTGCTAGGTGGAAACAGTAACAATACATGGTGAGAATTCAGTGAAATCATGGGTGATCCTAGGCATCTAACAAGAAGCCTGCAACATAGTAAATGATCAACACATTTGATTAATGCGATTAATGTCATGTAATCAGTAATGTGGTAGTAAGTAATGTAATATAGTGTGGTCAGTTCAGCTCTGCCGCTTCCTTGCTGTTTGACCTTGAAGAAGTTGCTTTGCCTCTCAGAGACTCAATATCCCAGGCTGTAAAATTGGGGCTTTTAATACCTTCCTCCTGGGATTGAAGGAGACAGCACAGGCGAAGTGTCCAGCTCAAGGCTGGCGCTGCTGGTGCTCAAAGGTGTTCAGTCAATACTAGTACCTTTTCCCCTTGCAAATGCCAACTAGCTTCTATCAGGAAAAAAACCTGCCCCGTTTCACCTATCAGCACCCCTTCATGCAGAATTCTCAAAAGGCAGGAGTATAAATATATATGTATGCATGTATAACTATGCTGTACGCCAGAAACTAACACAACCCTGTAAACTGACTGTATTTCAACTAAAAAAATTTTTTTAAAAGACAGGTATAGGTTTTGCAGAAATTAACTCCAAGGGCAAAGACCTTACAGCAGGTGCTACCCTGTGAGAAGTGCTGAATCCCCAAAGATGTCTGCTGTTTAATGGGGAAACTGGAGACCTCAGCTCCCCGTGGAGGTTTTTCTCCAAGTGTGTTTTGGAACGTGGTTCTCTGTTGGTCAAACAAACGGCCATCGTGGGTGTGGCGGGTGTGGTGGGGATTTGGGGGGGTGGTGCTCACAGAGTGGTATGATTCATTGTTGTTTGAAATTAGAGTCTGGGGATCCTATGACTTTCATGTCATCATGGAAACTGATGTGGTGACTGCCCAAAACAGAGCTCCCCAGAGCTTCCCGGAGTGTCTAGGTCTCCCAAGGACTGGCTCCTTCTCAGCAGTCAGGTCCCAGTCAGTGTCACCTCCTCAGGGAAGCCTTCTCTAGCCTCTGCATCTAATGCTACTCCCCAAACTCCCCAATGTCACCCCTCCTGTTTTATTGTCTTTTTGACACTATCTGATAGCTGGTGTGGTTTCTCTGTTTTCCCGAAAAGGATATAAGTCCCAGACACCAGGGAATGTGTCTGTGTTCCTCGTCACCAAATCCTCAACCTGTATCGTGATGTCACCAATTTCATTAGTCACCAATATTTGTTGCCTGAATAAATGAGGTCCTCTCCACTGTGACCTCCCTGTGATGATGGGGTCGGATGAAGGCAGACTGATGGCAGGCTCTGTCGTGACTTTTGGGCACATGGCGGGAGGTCAGGAGGGGGTCTGTGATAGACGGGTCAGGACTGAGTTCGGAGGATCATGGCATTTAATCCCTGGGAGATCAGCTTCCTCTCTGGGGAAGGATTTCTTCCTTCCCTTCTTTAACTGAAGTCAGCTGTCATGACCTCTCCAACCCGTCCTGGATGCAAAAATCCTGGGGATGGCCAAGAGGGCCTTACTGAACCATCTTCTCAAACATGGGACCTTCCTTGTCCAAATGAGCTGCAAGTAAAAAAAATATGAATTTCTGAATGCAAAATGAGGTAACTGATTTTGTGGCTGAAACTCATGAAACTCACCCAACATGTAGGGCTGACAGGGAGTGTGGTGGGCGGGGAAACGTATAACCACTACCCCTCAGGCTGTCATTTTATATCCCACAGGATTTGGAATCAGGGCTTGGGATCCAAATCCCAGTCAAGCTCCATAATATCTGTGTGACGTGAGCAAATGCTTTTCGTCTCTGGAGCCTCACCTTCCTCATGTGGAAGTTGGACCCATGATGCCTGCCTCACCTGGGAGGACTGAGCGACGTACACCTGTCGGGGCCCCCAGCACAGGCTGCCTGAGGGCGTTCGCCGTGGGTGGTCAGGCAGGTTAGGGTGAAGTTCAGGATGGTGGCCTCTGCAGTCAAACAGACCTGAGTGTGTCTCAATTCTCCCCCTTGCAAGCTGAGTGACTACGGATAATACTTCACTTCTTTCAAGCCTGGATTTTCCCATCTGTGAAGTAGTCCTAATAATGCCTAATAATAATTGCATATTTCTTAGAGCAATTGGCTGAATCAATACATTTTTTGCACACACTGTCATTCAGGTAATTGTTACTGTTTGAAGCCTTATAAATTTAGATTCTTCCCTCTCAGACAGAAATGCAACTATCACTGTGTCCAGAGCTCACAGGACACTCAAATTCCTAAATAAAATGATGGATCTATTTTTCAGTAGAATCTGGGAAAATAACCGGTCTCATCAGAGGTGGGTAACCTGTGCAACAAAAGGGTTGGTGGGAGGATCTCCATTGTTTGGGAGTGCAGGGCAGGGTTACAAGGATGCATCCTAGAGAGAGATGAAGACACTGCCACCTGTCTGGTCTGCTGCATCCCTTCCTCTCAACCTTCCTTGGCCTGAAGCATCAACCGTTCATCAGCCTCTCCTGCATCCTTTTCAGTTTCCCAGGAAGCCAAGTTGGCGACACCTCAGACACCTCGTCCTGACATGTGATCACGGGGTATGCTTGCCCCAGAGGGCCTCTCCTGCCAAATAAATCTGCTCTGCTTGGTCTACATATGGGCAAGGCAGGTGGCCGGTGGCTCAGAGAGGCTAGAAGTGACCTTCTCTAACTCGGCTCCACGGGTTTGTTTGCAAGAACACAGACACACGAGTGGCCACGGACAATATGTGTTCCGACATTATATACGGGGCATATTTTGCTCAGAAACATGCCCTGTTAGTTGTTGAAACCTTTTTTGCATTCCCTGAAACAAATGACACTAAGGTGTATTTTCTTTTGGGGGGCTGTAAATAAAAGTCTTTTATGTTGACAATGATAATATTATATTCCACGATCTATTTGCATTTCTCTATTCTGTGGATTTTATTGCTCGGTATAAATCCGCAGGCTGAGGCACATTAAGCTTCACTCAGGGAGATACAGTGCATTTTATCAAAGGGCTGGACAGCTACAGGCACGAGATGTCCCCTGCAGGGACGTTGTTTGCCCAGATGTGCCGGGCATACGCACAGGGAGAAAGAAATGCATATGGGTATGCAGATTTTGGTGTGTGCACATGAAGCGTGGAAGGATTTTCTTTGGATCCACAATCAAAATGGATTTCCGAGAGGGAGCTGGTCTGGGCACACGCCTACTTCATGTGCTATACACGGCCCCATCCCGCCAGTCAGGTCCTCAGGAAAGTGATCGTGCCTGCTTCGGCTCTGGCTAGAGCTCTTTGGCCCATGTGGTGGGCAGAAAACTGAAATGAGGACAGAGAAACGTCTCAGAGACTCGCAGAGGAGTTGAGTCACTCACCATCTTCCTGCAGGTCTTCTGAATACTTCTGAGCATAGGAGCGTCTTCTCCTAAAAGGCAAGCCAGTCGTTGCTGAGATAAACCACGACACAAGCTTGAGCCAGGGTTAATACCAACCATCGATGGTCCACTGAGCACTGTGTGCCATGCAGTGTGCTAAGCACTCTCTCATTTAATCCGTACAACAATCTGATATGAGGTAGGTGCTGCTATTATCCCCATTTTACAGATGGAATAACTGAGGTCCCTGATTCCATAGCCGGTAACTTGCAGAGAAAAAATTAAACCCCTGGGCAGTCTGGCTCCAGCTGTAGTTATTCATGGCAGGAGAAAATATGCGAAGTATGCCTTAAGAAAGCAACAAATGCCACTCCAATGTCAGGAATCAAAATATAAAGAAAGAAAGAATGAGTAATAGTTTTAATGAGATAAAGATGTCTGGTTGTCTGGCATAAGTTCATTTCCATAATGTTTTTCTACTTCAATCAAGGCTGTCCTTTTTTTCTTTTCTAGGGAAGTTTTCCAGGTGTGGGAAGTGGAACTATATTGGGTAGGTATGTCTCAGAGTCTTTGGCTCTGTTAAAGGGTTTGGTTGTAACTTCACCCCAAATCCACTGGAAAAGAGCAGAGAGTCCTTCTTCAGCACCATTCGGAAGAACACCCACGACATGGTGGTTTCTGAGCCACTAGACTGTTTAGGTTGAGCAAACGGGTCTTCTAAACGCCCAACTTTTAATGGAAAATGGACTACAAAAGTCCATTTTAATGGACTACTAAAGTCATAAATTACTCATTTAATTGTGTTTCAAGCCCATTTATTTAATTTTTTGGGTCTGAGGAAGAGTCAGTCAGGGGAGTAGATGGAAGGGGATTAATAAATGATTCCCATTTTTGGCCCTTTTGACTTGGCCTGGGATTCATTTGAACGGCTGTTTTCAAACTGAGCTTCTAAGGATGGCATTTGTGAGTGAAATTGCCCCTTTTATTTTCAAGGTAATTGAATTCCATTTTTCACTTAACCACTTCCTTCCGGAAAAATCAAAATGTTTTTAGAACTTAGTGTCCCAGTGGGTGATTTTACATGGTGGGAACTTCACTATCATGAAACAGATGGGGCTGGGCGATGACATTCAAGGCAGGGAGGTCAGCCTCGTCCTCTGCAGCTGAACCCACCCCACCAGCCGGCCTGGAGAGCATGTTGATTTCACTGTGTTTGCACTGGAAACACCAAAGGAATGTCCACACCTTGTGCATGGGCCAGGGCTGGGGGACTGGGGAGCTAAAATTCTGGCTGGCACTTTGTCATCCGTGGAGCAATCGAAGGGCAGTATTACTCAGAGGCAAAGCCAGGAACCATGTGCTGAAGGCCTGGATCAGTGTGTCAGAAAGGGTTGGGCAGATGAGCTGATCTTGGGGGGCACTTGGATAGGACTTTAAATACCATTAAATCACATCGTGACATAATGATTATCTTTCCAATTCTCTTTCAATCCTTCTTCTGATTATCTCAAGGACAAAGTCCCAGTTTCATGCTCAGTGTCTTTAACATTTTTCTTCTCTCTTTTTTTAGGTAAAGACTAGGCCTAAGTCTTGGACTTTTAGAAGGTAACGGTTTCTGGTTCGGATTTAATAATATTGTTTCAGTTTTCATCATTTTCTTTTTATGATAACTTTTGCTGGATGGCAGTTTCAAAGGTAGAGGATAAAGTTTTGTTTTAAAACAAATGAGATTAAGATTTTTTTTCACTGTTAAGTAAATAATCATGTTTATGAATGTGGCAAAACTCACCTGCATGGCATATGAACCCTGAAGTTTAGGATACACTGATTTAAGTGGCCCAGAAGGAAATAAAAAGAGATTGGTTTCTCCTAAACTCATAGATATTTGCTATTTACTGCAGGCTGTGTTCTAACCAAAAGGTAATATGTGTCAAGAGTAAGTCTGATTTCCAGTCTTCCGTCTACCCTCACCAGCCGTCAGCCTTAGCCTCTGAGAGCTTTGGTTTTCCCATCCGTACAGGGGGTATTATGAGCAGCTGAGGATAGCAGGGAGGTTCATTTCCTAAGCCAGGGTGGGCGATGCAAATAATGCTCATCGGAGAGGCGCTGACCCCTGGGCCGAGCCTTGGGAAGTTCAGTCCCTCTACTTCCAGTTAGCTTTGTTCTGTCTTCTTGCTGCCTGAGCTCTGAGTTTGCGGCTGGTAGGGAGGGAAGGTGGGGATGTAGCTTATATCCCCAGCAGCCTGGTGGAGAAATGCACTCCTGAGGCCAAGATATCATGCAAACCCATCTGGCCCGGCTGGCTTAGCAGCATGAAGGTCAACGTTTTGTAAACGGGCAGGCTTCCCCCTTCTCAGGCTGCAAATCTTTGGCAGTCGGAGGCAGGCTCTGAATTAAGCTTAATTAAAATTCACTCTTAATTAGGGCCATTGCTTAACATCAACTCTATGTACTGAAGCTGTGTAATCATAATTAAGCCCCAGAAATGGAGTTAGGAGGCACGGAATGCGAAAGCCAAACGTGGATGGGCCCAGTGCCAGTGGGGACAGTGACAGGACTCCTCAAATCAAGAGAATTTCCAAATAGTCAAGGAGCAATGAGTGCGTGGAGGGGCACAAGCCAGGCTGCCCCAGCGCACAACTCCAGGGGGCACCCCTCACGTGGTTGTGTCCCGTGGAGGCCCCGATGCAAACCCCAGTTCCAGAGATCACCCAAGAGTGAGCTAATGCCACATCAGGGGGCTGAACCCCACATGGCAAAAATGAGACGCTGGCTCATGAGGAAACCACTGTCTCTCTCCCAGCCGTGACCTCTCTGTCCTTTATCTCGAGAGCATTTGCCTCTATTTACACTAAATAGACCCAGCGCTGTTTGCTGGTTCCTGTATTTTGGGCAAGCGGAGCTGGACGCCCCCGCAGCCGGTCTCAGCAGGTAGCTGTCCTGGTGGTGGTCACGTGGAAGGTCCTGCTCTTCCTACAAAGTTTAGCAAACACCTTATCTCCCACAAAGTAGGTGAGGTAATGTTTATGAAAGATCACTCTGTCCTCTTCCATCAGGCTGGGGTGCCAGTGTGACCACCCCGTGCCGGAGGGTGGACTCCTTGCAGCCACCTTGCTTCCCCATTCTCCCCTCCTGTTCCCTTATTTGGGTGGAAAACCTCACTGATGTCCTTCCTCCCTGCAGGTCTTGGGAGAGCAAGACTCTCCATCCACCATCCCACTGGCCTTCCTGTCTCTACTTTCCAAGGCACATTCCCGGCCCCCTTGGGAGGGGCTGGGGGGCCTCATCTCACATAGGAGGAAGTAAGGCATCTTGGCTAGTGTTACAAAGCAGGCAGGTGACAGGGCCGGGGGCCCAGGGTTCTACCTCTTAAAGTCCCTTCTGAACTCCTCTATTTGTGATAACTGCTCATTTAAAGATTCCTGAGTTTTGACAGGGATGGATGGATGGACGAGTAGCTGACTATATAGATAGATGGAAAAAAAAAAAAGCTGGACAAGAGAACAGGTAGGCAGCAAGACAGAGATAAGACTGTGTAAATGCAGACGACTCCTGAAAGATATATAAGAAACCAGGGACAGTAGTGGCCTCTGGAAAGGGAGCAGGGCATCTAGGAATCTAGGGGAGAGAGAGAGAAAGGGAGATTCTTTTTTATTGTCTTTTTATCTTTGCTTCCTCTGAAGGGTTGGAATATTTTTCATGTGCACATAGTGACTTAAAATAATGTCTCTTTCTACTTTTTTTGGCCATCTCTGCCCCTGTGCATCTGTCTATAGGGGAGGTCTGACACTCTAGAAAACTTGCAGGAGGTCCCTAGGGGGAGCGCTCAAAGGTGTTTCCTCGTCAGAAACTGGCTCCGCTTGATGAGTCCAGGCCATCGACTCACAGATCCACGGGCAGCTCAGGCTTAGACTGAAAAGGACACGACCGGATGGTGAGTGAAACTCGGCCTCAGAGTCCAGGAGCCTCAGTGGCTGCCCTGGTTCCCTCCGATCCAGTGACCAGAGCGCCTGCTGGCGCAGGCGACAGCGGGGATGTTTATGTCACTGGTGTTTACGTACGTGACTGACTGAAGGCCACCTACATGCCCAACCACTTGGCGGTGGTTAAATGATTTGGGGTCCGGTCATTCAGTATCATGCAGAGTCATTAAGAATAAATAAGAAACCCTATGCTTTCCATGTTCAATGTTAGATTAAAACAGCTGAAAAACACCCCTGCCTTAGGCAGTCTGATTTCCTGGATTACGAAGTGGCTCCTTGGCTGATCTGAACCTCAGCCAGGGCTCGGGGCCCCTGTTCTGAAATTCCAGTTCCTTAGAATGAAGCACAGAGAAGTCAAATCAAAATACGCCAGAGATGTTAACACTAGGTATCACTTGGTTGTGATACTTTGAGTAACTTGTGTTATTTTTCAGGTTTTCCCCCATTTCCAATGTGCAAATATACTTTTTTTAAACTGTAAACAAAACAAACCTTTATATAGAGTAAACTCTTAGATAGAAAGCCATGAAGGAAATCTCTGCACAGGGAGGTTGGAAGGAACTAAGACAAAATAACACCTTTGGATGGTGTGACCATAAATTATTCTTTCTCCCTATCTTTATAGGTTTCTAAATTTTCTGCATTTGGTATGTTTACTTTTATAATGGATATTTAAGATGAAAAAAAAATTTAATGGGTGGAGAGGGAAAGAGAGATAAGGCTATTGAAAAAAGTCCAAAGCTGTTCATTTCAGTCGGTTGCTGTTTCCTGAGTCCCTCAGATGTGCACATCGCTGGGGAGGGGGCGGTGACATAGGGGTGAAGGAGACGCAATTCCTTTAATCAAATAGGTAGCCGTCCATTTAAGGAGACAAGACCCTTCATGAGACAGGAGGCAAAGGAATTCCCTAGAGTGTAGGCTGTCCGGAGTATAACCATAACAACACGAGATGTGGCAGAGGGCTTGGGAGCGCCAGCTTCAAAGCCACCTCCTCTTCTGGGTGGAAACTCACCTCCATTTCTTAACCATGTCAGTTCTGAGCCTCAGTTTCCTCTTCTGTAAACGTAACCTACCCCGAGGGGTCATTGTGGAGATTAAATGGAGGCTGCACAGGAAGGGCTGAGCGAGGTGCTTGGCACACATTCCAACCTCAGCATGAATCACCGTGGTGGTCGTCACTTTGGCTCTTATGTGCCAAGCCTGCTGTTTGAAAGTCAGGCTTTCACAGAGGTGACGAGTTGGGATTTGAACCCACATTTATCTCACTTCAAAGCCAGTCCTCCTACCCCAACCAGCCACTGCATTTCCCTTCTGAGCTTAATCTAAATTTCCTCTCAACCTCACCATACGGTCTTGCCAGGAAGAAAACCTACATTTTCGTGAGAACCAAAGGAGAAACGAATCTGTTTGAAAAACATCAGAGGAAGATAGACTCATCCCTCCGTGTCAGATCTTGCAACATTGTCCACCGCCTTCCAGTTCGTGTCTCTTGGTGCAGGGGTTCCTTTCGCAGCACTGCTGGGCGATTCCCTCGAGTGTGACAGGCGGTGCTGGCTTGCTCCAGCTGGGCGGACAGAGGCTCAGGACGCATGGTAGTGGGGTGGGGAAGAACACGGGGTCTGGGAGCGCCCCAAGGACCTCTGCAATGAAAGCCAAGAGGTATGTGCACACAGACTGCCCACAGGCCAAGGATGGAAGTCTGGGGGAGCAAGAGGAAAGCCATGGAGGTTCGGCAAGGAGAGTGAGGAAATCAAAGCAAGGGGAAAATTCTGTCCATGGACCTCCACTCATTCCAAAACTGGTTAACTCCTTGGGAGAGGCTTAATGCTGACTGTTTCTCTCTTACCTTCTGGTCAACTGTCTTTTTAAGGGATCTATGTAAACCCAACTATATCTCATCCCACCTCATTCCTTTCTATTCCGTTCGCCCACTCTGTGCCTGGCACTCTGCTCAGCACAGGAGGGCAGATAAGACGCCTGGACGACTGTGTGTTGGGATAAGGAAGAAACGAGGTGAACATATTAGGTGTCACATGTGGTCCTAGAGGCAGGTGCAGCGTGGTGGCTAAAGAGGCAAGGTGGGCAGAAGAGGAGCAGGTACTGAGCTGGGTCTTCAAGGACATTGTGAGCAGACTCCCAGTGGGTCTGCCAAGGATGTACCCATGGCATTCCCAGTGGACTGCAGCACCCGGGTTGCAGGTGTGCGTGGGGAACACCTGGGCAATGAGGCTGCGATGCAGGTGGGCGGCCCCCAGAGGGCCTTGACTGACCCACTGAAGGACCCATAGTGAGGGTCCTGGCAAGAGGAAGAGACAGGTCTGATGTGTCTCTGGCAGTGGGTGCCCTGTGGGCCCAGGACCAGGAGCCATGTTGGGCAATATGGAGATAGGACCCTGCTCTCCTCTGCATCACATCTTCAGTTTGCGGGGAAGAAATTCTAAATTTATCATTTATCTGGTGACTCTGGAAAAGCAGATATCTGGGTGCTAAGAAAACCCATCATTCATTCATTTGTTCATCCATTCAGAACTGTTCTTGTGCATTTGTTTATATTCATATACTGACATTTCTGGGGGGGGGTCACATGGAGTGATAAGACTTGGTTCTAATGTCAAGAACCTTAGAACCAGAAGGAGTGAGATTACTAAATCCATGGTGTCAACCTGCAAACTGAGCTGGTCACCTCACTTCCCCATCATCGTTTCAAACACTTCAATAAAAACAAAAAACAACAACAAAAAAACCATTTCAATAGAAAAACACAAACCAGGCCAAAGTACCCCTGCATGACCTGCCCCCACTCACCTCCTGAGACCCATCTCCCACTATCTCCCTCCTTCACCTTCAACCACAGGCCCTTCACACATGCTGCACGAACACGAACACGTCTGCAGCAGTCATCTCCCCTGGTTCTTGTCTGCTTTTCCTTCTGTGCTCAGATCAGTGTTGCCGCATCAGGGAAGGCTTTTCCAGTCTGCTTGGACGGACTCTGTCCTTACAACACCCTCTCATCCTCCGTGTAACTTCCTTCGTAATGCTTATTCCAATGACAATTATTTTGCACTTATTTATGTGACAACTTTAATATTTGTATTCTCCACCAGACTGTAAGCTCCATAAGAGCAAGGACTGTGTCTTTTAAAAAAGTCAGCTTCACTGAGATGTAATTTTTTTGTGTGTGTGTAACAAACACCCCCATTATACACGGTGCATGACAACGAGTGTTGACACATTTTTACCAAAAATGTAGACACTTGTGTAACCACCACCACTGTCAAGATAGAGGACAGTTTCATCACCCCAAAAAGGCAGATTTCTGTGCTGCATCCCAGTCAGTCTGCTCCCCGGCTCCCAGCAACCACTGCTCTGCTTCCTGTCTCCAGTAATTTGTCTTTTCTAGTGTTTCATATAAATGGAATCATATACAGTAAGAATTCTTTTAACTACTCTATCTAAAATGGATAAACAACAAGGTCCTACTGTGTAGCACAGGGAACTGTATTCAATACATCGTCATAGCCTATAATGAAAATGAATAGAAAAGTAGCATATATGTCTATATATGTCTAACCGAATCCCTATGCTGTACGTCAGAAATTGACACAACATTGTAAACTGACTATACTTCAATTAAAAAAAAAATGATTCTTTTGTGCCTGGCTCCTTCAACTCAACATACTCTTCCGTTTTATTGCTGAATGATACCACGCTCCAGCTGGTTCACAGGAGCTCCGTCTGTCTCTTCAGGTAAGCCAGGGGCCACATTCTCTGACGCCACTGACATTTAGTGTGGGCCCAGGCACGTGGACCACCCTCGGGAGTGGCACCTTCCATCTTCCCTGAACCAGGGCATGGGAGTGACCACTCTGTATCCACGCTCGACAGTTGCCCTGAGCCTCACAGCCTTCCCCTCGACTCCCACAGGCTGACCCTCTGGGTCCGGGGAGCCCAAGCCTGTCTGCCTCCCTTCAGTATCAGTCTGACACTTCCCACAGCCATGGAGAGAGATTCTGGCTCAGCACCGTTGATTAGGGGGCAAGGCTGGGTGACCACGGGCAGATCCCTCCAATGCTGTGAACTTTAATTTCCTCATCTGTCAAACAGAGATATTGATGTCCACCTCATGGGGTCGTTTAGTGGGCACACGTGTGTGAAAGTACTGTTTGGAGCAGAAACTTCGGTATCATAGAGTGACAGCTAATTCGCTCATTTAATGTCACCCCATCCTGCGTTAATAACTGCCTGTGTTACCTGGGACTTCCTTTCTCTCCCTGGATCTTCGATTTCTTTTCCCATCAGGTGAGGGGTTGAGCCAGAGTTCTCTAAGGTGCCTTCCATTTTGAACCGTCTTGGATTTGAAGGTGCTGGAACACTAGAGAAAGGGCTAACCTCATCGTCCAGCACTGAAAAAAAATTGAGTGATTTCTTTTTTTTCAATAGATAACTGGCTTCTCTGAAAATTCTCTACCTGGGTCGAGGATTCAACTCTAATTTCAAGAACAAACCAGTGTTTTTACACCAATAGGCTTACATCTGTAGCCATTTCTAAGCCCATCACAGAAGATAGTAGAGCACCTTCCTTCCAGGTGTGCTGGCTGCTGCTATGAAGCGTGCCTTGCTGGGATTTGGATCTTTGATGGGGATGAGCGTGTCCCCAAGTTGCTGGTGGAGCAGGAGTGGTGTTCCATTTTGCACCCAGTAGTTTTGTTCAAACCACCTTTCCATGGGCCCTGACATTCAACAGAGAATTCCTGAGGGCCTGTCATGTGCTTGGGGGTTTATATGTACTGTCACTCAACAGCCCTATGATCAAGGTGTTCCACCACATTTTAAGTTGGAGAAATGGGCTCAGTGAGGCGCAGCTCGTCATGTTCCTCCAGTTAGTAAATTACCAAGTTGGGGCTGGAATACTAGGTCTTTACCACTGTTGTCGTCCCTGGACTGGGCACAGGACATGCAAAGGTAGCTCAGATACACTTGAATTCTTTGTGGCCAGGAAGAGAAGGCAGTAGTTTAATATTCACTGGGAGAAAATCCAAGAATTTCTAGATGTCAGTCACTTACCATCTAGTTCAACCCCCTTGCTTTACTGATTAGGAGACAGAGGTCCAGAGGTGATCTGACTTGCCCAGGGTGATACGGCCCGCTGGCTGTGAGTGGGAACTGTTACCCAGGCTTCCCAGCTCCCAGATTAGAGCTTTTATGCATGCAGCATGCCCAGGGGCAGAGTGGGGGCTGCTGCAGAAACAAGGAAATGGAGAATTAGGGATAGGGCTATTTCCAAATCACCTGTCTCCAGTCTGTGGTGTTCAGAGTAAAGAGCAGGGTTCTGGGAACCAGTCCACAGAGATGGTTTCATAATCACCCTTAAAATAGCACAACGCCGTGTTCCTTTCCTGTGACCTCTGGCAGACTCAAGGACAAATTTCAGAATGGCCGTCATGCTTCTAAGGCTGGGGAACCCTCACTTCTGTATTAAGATTCAGGTTCTTCACAGCAGCATTTTATAATCAAAGACTTCATTTACTATTTGACCCTGAATATCCTTTGTTTTGAAAAATCTGGGCTAACTACAAAGTTATCCTGATTAATCCATCACAAATTATTTTCTTCCATTCTCTCTTTCTCAAAGACAAAACCCTCAGATCAGTGCAAGATGCTCAGCGAGTTGACAGCACTGATAACAGCTGCCCCGATGGCGTGCCCACCGCCTGTCACGGGTTGTGCTGGGTGAGCACCTGACAGTCTTAGCTCACGGGATCCTCCCACTGACCTGTTTCGCAAGTGCAGGCACCAGTGTTCAGGAAGGCCATCAGTGCTAGGAAATGGCGAGACCGGGAAATCCGAGCCCCTGAGCCATGTTGGGAAGGCTCCTGTGCAATTCACTGGGGCCAGTAGAGCAAGTGCTCAGGCATTTTGGATATAGAGCCCCTGACTGCCTCCACGGGTCCTGACAGAGTGGACTTCCTCCATCCGGGAGGCCTTTCCAGGGGCTGGAGAGGATGAAGTAAGATCTAGAAGGACCCCCACCATCTGGGAAGCCCAGACTGGGTCACACAGGACACCTTAGCGATGTGCATAGTGACTGCTTACCCAGCGGGACACAGGCTTCCTACAGCTGGGCGGGCTGGTCACATGACCCATGAAGGCAAGAACACAGAAGTTTGTGAGCCAGGCAGACAGGGGACCCAACCCAGATTCTTCCATTTCATAGCTGTGTGAACTTGAGTGAGGGTTCTCATCTCTTCAAGCCTTAGTTTTCTCACCTGTAAAATGGGACCCGTACAGCCTACCTCAGTGTTAACTTCAGGTGATTTGGTCAGAGAAGACCTGACCTGATGCCTGGAAGACAGTAGGTGCTTAATAATTGAGAGTTGCCATTCTTGCTACATGGCAGGTGAGGATCTAAGTGTCCCCCTTGGCCATAAACCTGAAATATTCTCTTCTGCCACACCCAGGCTCTGGAGCACAATAAAACTGGACTGTGGCTCTAGCTCCTGTCATCTCTTGCACCAGGCCAGGTCCAGAGCAGCCCTCTGTGGGTCAGTGCCCCCCACTTCACAATCTGGGGAGAGGCATGCCCTTCTCCGTGCAAAGACCTGGGTGCACCCTGTGCCGGGACAATGATGCTGGACAGTTGACCTAGAGAAGTTGACAAGTGACTCAATTCAAGGCAACAGAGAACCAAAAAACCATTAAAGAGAAGAAAAGAGGAGAAAGAGATGGGAGACAGATGCAGAGTAATGGTGGAGGCTACATTGAATCTGCTGGGAGGCAGGACGTTATGGCAGATGAAGGAAACAAGGCTGGGCTTATACTAAGCGCTCAGTAAAACTTAGCCAGACTCATAATCACCATTACCTCCTACTGGTCAAGTGATCACCTCATTCTCTCAAAGGCCAGATGTGGGTGACTTCATCTTTATTCCCATTTTACAGATAAGGAGGTTAAGGGGAGTGCAGAACCAGCCCAAGATGTAGATCCTTTCACTTATACCTTGTGGCCATCAAGGTGGGTTCTGGCTGGGCGCTGGGTATCCAGCTGGTGAGCGATGCCACAGGCAGGAGCAGAACCACCCTCTTGACCTCCCTCACTCCTTGGGAGCTGTCTGTCCCAGGCTGACTTTTCCCAGCCCCTTCAAAGTGTGGTCAGGACTCAGGAGCGAAAGCTGCAGGAGCTGGCCTCAAGGGGGCAGCAGGAGCCTTGGAAACCCCAGGCCGGAGGCAAGGCTGGGCTGAGCTGGTTGCAGGCTGGGAAGCACACACTGGAGGCAACCCAGAGGATCCTGGGGTGGGAGTGGGGGGTAGGTGCTGACCAGCTGAGGTCCACGCTGCCTGTGCTGGGAGCTGCAGTCAGGGCTGGGGCTGCAGGAGAGAGGGAAGCAGCGGGGTACTGAACTAGGATGCTTGCCCTTCTACAATCCCCTCTTCCTGGCTAGCCACAGGGGATTAAATGTGACACACCCCAGCTCTCCAGGCAGTGAGGGAGGCCAAGTGCAGCCCCCGTAGTGGCACAGCCAGGGAATGGGGGTGGTTGGGGCTTCCACAAGCTGGAGTCCAACACAAGGAGCATTTACGAAGCCATCAGGGACCACACAGAGCCCAGGACATTTCTTACGACTGCATTTGGACCCCTCTGGCCTCTGCCTCAGGAACTCGCCACCACAGCCCCTAAGGGCCAGATTCCTGGGTCTCCCGCAGGCCTCTGAGTCAGAAGTTCTGTTGTTTTGGCCCGTTGGCCA